GAATATGACTGAAAAGATGAGCAACAATCAATCAATGCCTTTGCATTCATTATCAAGGTATTAGGTGACTTGTTTGAGGGGACCTTGTCAAGTGCTCCACAGTATTTTTCTACCTCTTTACCCTCTGTAACATATGCTGATGTAAAATTACAGGTATCTTCTAGGTGGACCCCTTCCCTGTGCTCATCATAAGCACTTGTTTTCAGGTAGCGAGAGTTCTCTGGGCAATGGATCCCATTTCCCAGGATCCGGGTCAAAGTTCTGGTTCAGCGAAGGGTTGATCAATCCCTCCTGCCTCAAAGATCAGCTGAATATAAAAATTCCCTCTCCCCATAGTGTGAAATAATACCTCATACATACTTAAGTTAGTCAGTCAATAAACATTTATTAAGAATCTACTATGAGCCAGGAACTATGTTAAAGTGTTGGGGATACAAATAAGAAAAAGAAACAATCCCTGCCCTCAAGGAGCTTACATTCTAATGGGGAAGACAACACATAAAAGGAAATTGAAAAACTGGAGACCATAGAGAAGGTACCCGCCATGATGAAGTTCAGAGGAGTGCAAGCTGCAGAGAAATGAAGAGATGGCTTGAGTAGGTGACCTCTTTAAATTAAGGTTTGAGGAGGAGCTCCCTGTTCTCCCCCAGGGGCAAAGGGTACTGAGGAGGTATGAGTTCCAGGGCTGAACTGACCTCACAGGATGAAGAAGTTCTTGAGGCATAATGGAGAAGTCAAGAGGCCAGATTCCACCTTTATTCACCCCTTGTACTAGTAGAGATGAAATATGGCTGCCATTCCCCCATTACCACCAATATACCCCAGCTCAGTGCCCAAGGAGCCATGTCTCCTCAGCCTATGTAGCTTCACGCTGATGGATGTCCTCCATCCACAAACAGAAGGAGCAGTTTTAATTGTCCATTTCTATTATCTATACTCTCTTCTTAAGGGTGCAGTCTCTGGTCCCTGCTTCTCAATATCCACTATAAATTTTTTTGGCCCTTTGAGAAGTTATGGCCTTATTTCCTGTCTCTGCACCTTCACATTAACTATCTCATATACCTGGGATGCATTTGTTCCTCACTTCTGTCTCTTGGATTTGTTAGTTTTCAAGGCTCAGTTCAAGCACTCTCTTCTACGTGAAGTCTTTCCCCATCCCCTTACCTGCTGATGTGAGACTCTTTTTGCACATTCTTCTAGAGGCTAGTGCCTTACTTCATAGAGCCTGCCTGGTATCTATGTTCTGTTTACATCTATACAGATGAATGTTATCATTCCCATTAGGATATAGGTTCCTTGGGGGAAGGAACTTCTTGTCTCTATATTCCAAGCACCTAGCATCAGTACTTATAACATAGAGACCCTTAACAGATGCTTGTTTATTGATCACTTACTTCCTTATGAGATGGTCCCTTGGCATAATAGAACCTGGGTCTATGTGGCCTTGGCAAAATTTCTTGGCCTATATAGGATAGGGTCCTTTCAGGAGTACCTCGGGGATACTGCCAAACAAGTGAAAGTTTTATAGATCTCTATCACCTACACATTTTTTTTTTTACTGGAGGCAGGATCTCCCAAATGAAAGTTTAAGTTTTTGGTTGCATTACATGCAGGAAACCTTTCTTAAATTATAGCATATTATGGAGTGACACTCTATAAGCAAATGTTTATAGAAATCTTAGAGGGATTTTCATAATTAGCAAAGCTCATCTGGAGTTACAGGTAAGTTCTTCAAGTCCCCCTTGATTTGGTACCCATCTTAAAACCTCCTTTTGGACCTTTATCAGCTTTCTCAATATAGCACTGGAAACTGAATTAACCAAATGTCCCATGAACTGATGTTTCTTTTTTTTTTAATTTATTCATTTTTTTAGTTTTCAACATTCACTTCCACAAGATTTTGAGTTCCAAATTTTCTCCACATCTCATTCCTCCCCCCCCACCCCAAGATGGCATGCATTCTTCCCCTAATCTGCCCTCCCTTCTGTCTCTCCCCCTCCTTCTCTTATCCCTTTCCTCTTCTATTTTCTTGTAGGGTAGGATAGATTTCTATACCCATTTCCTGTATTTCTTATTTCCCAGTTGCATGTGAAAACAATTTTTTTTAACTTTTGTTATTAAAACTTTGGGTTCCAAATTTTCTCCCTTTCTTCCTCCCCACCCACCCTCATTGAGAAGGCAAGTAATTCAATACATGTTATACATGTGTAGTCTTGTGAAACACTTTCACAGTAGTCATGTTGTGAAAAACTAAATATACTTCCCTTCATCTTACCCCACCCCCTCATTTATTCTATTCTATCTTTTGACCCTGTCCCTCCCCAAAAGTGTTTGCTTCTGATTACCCCCTCCCCCAATTTGCCCTCCCCTCTATCATCCCCCTGCTCTCTTATCCCCTTTCCCTCCTATTATCCTGAAGGGTAAGAAGTTTCCATACCCAATTGCATGTGTATGTTATTCCCTCCTTAAGCCAAATTCAATGAGAATAAGATTCACTCATTCCCTCTCACCTTCCTCCATTTCTCCTCCTCTGTAAAAGCCTTTTCTTGTCTGTTTCATGTGAGATAATTTACCCCATTCTACCTCTCCCTTTCTCCTTCTCCTCATATAATCCTCTCTCACTCCTTAATTTTATTCTCCAGAGAAAGATTCTATGGTCTGACTTTTTTTGGACCTTTGCTAATTCATGATCCCAGACAATTACTTGAGTTTTAAATTCTTTGATAAGGTAGGAGTCTGCTTCTAGTGTGGAGAATGTACTGTTCCAAGCTTCAGGGGTTTTGTGCAGCTGTTTTCAGAGATACTTCTAGGGACCTGTAAATTTTCAGTTTTTCCAAGGTGGTATGATAAGGGGCGAGGTGTTTATTCTGTTCCTGGCCTGTGCTCTGGTCTATGAGCACTCTTTTCTGTCTTGGAACTGTGACAAGGATTTCCTCTCCACCACCACTACAAGCTCCACCATGCCAGCACTCCTCCTTGCCCCAGAACCACCACCCAGAACTGTGACCCAGATCCACACACGGGCAAAGCAAGAGAATCTTGCACCAGCACAGAGATCCCTGCAATCCCCCTCTGATCAGCCATTCAATTCCCCCTCAGTCTGTGGGCCCGAAGCTCAGGAGGCACCTGCTGCCCCGGGGCCATGTGGGGACTGGGGCTGGGACTGAGCTTCTCTCTCTCACAGACTTTTTCCCATTGACCTTCTAAGTTGTCTTTGGCATTAGTGGGTTGAGAAGTCTGGAAACCACCACAGCTGCCCACAATTCAGTCCTCTGAGGCCTGCTCCAGGTTCGCTGCAGCCTGCATGCCCACGTCAAACTGCGCTCCTCTCTCCATCCCGCGGGGTTTCTGATCAACCATCCAGGTTATCTTGGGCTGGAAATTTGTTTCACTCTGCCTCTTTGTGGGCTCTGCTGCTTTAGAATTTGTTTAGAGCCATTTTTTACAGGTATTTGGAGGGGTTTGGGGGAGAACTCAAGCAAGTCACTGCTTTCCCTCCGCCATCTTGGCTCCGCCCCTTACTGCTTCTTTCTCTGAACTGATGTTTCTTGTTGCCTTTGAGTGAGCACACAATGAATCTAACCCTGCCAACTCCTTTACTCATCTCCTTCTTCTATTTAGCTATACTTACTTTATGTTCTGGTTTTCTTTATGAGAATGCCAAAGTGGATGATATTCCATTCCACTGGTAATATTTTGACTTGTTGAGTCTTGATAAATGAGAAAATTATTTTCAGGTCCAAAGAACAGCTAGTGCCATTTAATAGTGTTCTAATAACACTTGATGGTCAAAAATGGGCTTGATATTTATTTTAAAATCTGGTCCTCACAACCACCCTGTAGGTTATGGAATGAAAATGAACTTCATAGAAATTAAGTGACTGGTCCAAGGTCGCAGAGTCAGTAGACTACATAGTAGTCTGTGCAGAACCAGAGTTTAAATACTATTGCCTACCAAATAAAGACCAAACTCCTCCGCTTCATATTCATTCCCTCCACAATCTGGAAACCATTCTAACCCATCTGGACTTTGCTCATTTTATTCCTTTCCAGTCAAACTGCACTTCTATCTTTCTAACCCATCCTTAACTTCTTCACCATCTGTTTTGGCTCATATTGTTCATACCTGGACATGTCCCTCCCTCCCCTTCTTCTCCTGTTGAGTTTCTGACCATCCTTTAAAAGCCACCTCAGTTGCCACCTCCTCCCAATATCCCCAATATCCTCTACCTTCATCTCTAAGCTAGTAACAACCTTCCCTGTAAAAGCTCAGGTGCACCTTACTAGGTGCACTTGAACATTTTATATAGTTTTCTTGATTTTATTTTGTCTTGGCCTATTTTTTGCTCTAAGTTGTAAGCTGCAGGAAGGCAGGAACCACAAGGGATCTAAACTTTGTATCTCCCAAGAACCTAGCAGAAGGCTCTGCACCACACTATGGTTGAGCTGAATGAGTTGTTTCAACCATCCTAGTGGTGATTAAGGTGGAGGGGAGGGGAGAGTTTCCAATGAAACTTGGAAAAGAAAATTCCTTGACATCTTCTGTTAGGCTGACAGGGCAGCTGAATAATTTTCACAGGGTAAAAAATGGAAACTATCGCAAGACAGGAAATGTCAGAGCTTTAACATTGTTTTCAGAAATCACTATTTTAAATGTGTACGGTATTGCATAGGTCTCGGAAGTGGTACATCATATTTTCTTGGATTGGTTGCCTTGTTTCTATCACCCAACTGGCACAACTCAACCAGGAAATCACATTCTCCTCACCCAGCCACCATGTGGACCTGAAGCCATTATGTTACTCTCTGTATTGTGTTTATTATTTCCAGATATTAGGTGAGTGAGTATGGAAGTCAAACAAATACAAACTATGAACTTGTGAGCTTCAAAAGGTAAGTTGCCACATTTAAGGGATGTAAAAGTCTTTGCCATTGAAGTGTTAGTATTGTTTGGAACTCATTCTCGTCATAGCCAGTCAGATGAACTTGGACACCAAGACTTCCTCATAGTATTATTTATTATTCAGCATTTCTATCACACTTTCTCATGTTTTACAATCATCAGTTATGCAAAATGAAAAGAAAACAAGTAAAAATTAATAAATGCAACTGAAACCATGTGATATCAAGAGACAGCAGTGTGCCCAGTCTTATTTAGCATCTTCATCAATGCCCTGAGAAGGGATAGTAGAGCATTTATTTTAATTGTAGATGATAAGGGTTACAATCAGTCATGGATCCAATAAGACCCTGAGATTCAGAAAATAATTGAGACACAGCCTGGAAAAATGTAAACTGATTCAACAGCAATAACAAACTTTAAAGGAAAAGAATACTTAGAAAAACAAAACCGTAACAGAACTGAGGCTGGAAATTAAATATAAATGTGCAGGGTGGAACACTGGCTAAAAAGCATAAAGCATCAGGCCATGAATGACTGCATTGTCTTTGAATCTGACTAGTTAAGTCATAGATTTGATTTAAATAAAATCTAAAATTCTCTCAGTTTTTGATACCTGTAAATCATGCTTAAGTGCTTATAGGAAGCATTCATTCTCTAGCTGTCTAAAATATCCTAGACCAATTTTGTCCAGGGACAATACAAGAGGTGCTTTTGTGATATAATAGCGCTGTTCATTGTTGAAATCCAAAAAGGAGAGCTATTAACACCAAGAAAAGTCACCTAAGCTTTTTTAAGTTTCATGAAAGACTCAAGTTTGGAGGAAAAGAAATATATATGTATATTATATGTATACACACATATATACATGTGTATATACACACACATATATAGCTTTTAATATACATGCATGTATATATACCTTCTCTTCCTTTAACTTTTTCATAAGAGTAATTATTTCACTAATATGATTTCATTCATTAGAGATTTCAGCACCCAGGCACACCAGGTTATGAAATGAATTTTCCACTTACAAATATAATAGTGACATCACCTTCTTTCTCAAATATCAACTGTTGTTTAGGGCAAGAATTGATTGCAGTCTCCTTTAACGGAATGGCATGAACAGCATAATAACTGCTATACACACATAATCCACAATTGTCATCTTCCTCCCTCACCAGTCCTTCTACCAGAGCTAATAGAAAGTAATGGGACTGAATGATGTTAGTTCTATCTCATTTCCTCACCTTGGTTCATAAGTGCTAATGAGTAATGTAACCAAAGCTCAAATAGCAGAAGGGAAAAGAAATGAGACTGATTGATATACAAACTTTATAATTGCCCCCATGCCCTAAATGATCCAGAGTGGATTGAGCCTGCCTCTATTATCAGCGATAACCATCCTTTGGTTGTATAATATGAATTTAATTAAATATGTTTTTTGAGTCTTGCCCTAAGTGTAAATCCATCTGGTTTTCAATTATTTCAGAGATCTTGCCTCTTTAACATCAGTCTTAGCAATTGATATTAGTTTAGATCCAATAACTTCTGGGATCTGATTGGATACCTAACACCCTTATGTACAATAAAGCTTTTTTAATCTTGTGATTGATTTATTTACATGTTAAATAAGTAAAAGCCATTGATTATTCTCCATAATAAAATAAACTTTGATCTTAGTTTATAATTCTACATTACATACACTGAAAAACAATAAAAGATTTTGTGAAAAACCATCAAAGAAGGATTCATCTTTTTCTTTTCTCAGAACTTTTCTCAGAACTGGTTGGGGATGAACCAGTAAGAAATGGGACACAATGAAAATTCTTGGTCAAATGAGGCAGACCCAGGGTCTGATTCAGAAAGAAAAACTGTTAAAGATCTTAATCAACATCATTTTTAAATTATAATTACAAACAACACAAATCCCCTTATCTGAAGAGATAGCCCACCTTAGATTCTAAATACCATATTCTTCACCATATGCTCCCAAATCCAAAAATACCAGCAATGATTCATGACCAAAATAAATTACACATCCCCAATATCTCCCCAACAGTCACTGGAATAACTAAGTCACTTCACAGCATTAAGCTGGCTGGAAAAAGAAATCGTTCTGTTAACACTCTGTAACAAACTATGTTGACACCCTTGGTGGAATCAACCCATTTCCACTTCTTCTGACGATATGGGAAAGATAACCTGGTACATCCATGACTTAAGCCAAGGCTATAGAAGTAGATCCTCTCTTGGGTTTGTTGCTTGAATCCTTAGTGGTTCTCTAGTGTCTTCTGATCTGTAAGTGGAATCATTTGTGAGATTGCTTTAAAATGAAGAGAAGAAAATGGCTGCGTGTTTGCCTCCAGCACAGTGACACACTGGGACCAGGCTTCCAAGTGTAGAGGCATAAGCAGAACCTGCTCTTTTTTTCTCCTTTGCTTTCCAATAGGAAATGTTTCTTCCATTCTTAGAATTCCAGGCTCATGAGATTAAAGCTAGAAAGGACCTTAGAGACCACAGAATTCAAGCCCTTCATTTTCTACATCAGCAGTGTTCGTTTTCTTTTCCTTGCTTCCAAGTCCAGTTCCATAATGAGTCAGTGGCATTTGGCACAGCACATCCTGGGTCCTCTGGTCCAGATGCTGTAGATAGTTAGCTGGAACAAGGGAATGAGGCTCCCTGAAGAGGGCCACTGCCTGAAGGAAGCTGAGGAGGACTTCCCTCTATTTCCTGAGGACCAAGCTCTTTGCCTCCAGATAGCTGGTGCTGGTAGCCTTGATCTTTCCCCATGTCTTCTAAGGTCTGCATTTCTCTGTTCCCAGATGCCAGACACATAGATCCTTAGGAAAAAAGCATAAGAAGCAGCATTATTCAGATAATCCAATACTCCCACTAAAAAAACCCTTAGAGTAGGAGTTCCCAACCATTTTTTGTGTCTCATGAACCCTTTGGAATATTTGATGAATTCTATGGATTCAGAATGTTTTTAAATACATAAATTATAAATTCAATATAAATACATTTTATAAATACAAATTAATATGCATATTATATAAATATGCTATAAATATAAATTAAATGTATAAATGCATTTTAAATGCATAAATTTCAGAATGTTTTTAAATGCATAAAGGAAAATACATCCAATTACAAAGGAGACCAAATGATGGAATACTACTGTGCTATAAGAAATGATAAGCTGGTTGATTTTAGAAATACATAAAAAGACTTACATGAAATAAAGAGGAATGAAATGAGCAGAACCAAGAGAACATTGCACACAGTAAAAGCAATATTGTTCAAAGAACAACTGTGAACTACTAAGTCACTTTGAGTATTATAAATCTTCTAATCAATTACAAAGGATCCATGAAAGACGATGCTATCCATTTCCAAAGAAAGAACTGATAAATAGAAGTATACATAGTATGATTTTACATATATATATATATATATATATATATATATATATATATATACATATCTATGTCTAATGGTGGCCTTCTCTAGTGCAGGGGAGGGAAGAAAAAATTAAAAGTGCACAGCAAAGAACAAAAGAAAACTCAGAAGGAAGCACAGAAAAGGAGGGTAGTTTTGAAAACGATGTGTAGTATTTATTACACAGTTTTTCAAAAAGAAGTAAACATTTTTAAACAAAGATTTGTGGTTTCATACTGAATCCTCTTTTTGTGTTGTGTTGTGTACATGGAAATTTTTTTTGTCTTTTTGTATTTAATTTCAAAATGAATAAAAAAAATTTTAAAGGAGACCAAATATTTTGAAATACAGTTATCCCTCTCTATATGCGCGCGCGCGCGTGTGTGTGTGTGTGTGTGTGTGTGTGTGTGTGTGTGTGTGTGTGTGTGTGTTGGTGAGGCAATTCAGGTTAAGTCACTTGCCCAGAGTCACACAGCTAGTGAGCGTTATGTGGCTTAGGCTGGATTTCAATATATTTTTAAAAACAAGTTTGGACCCCATGGTAAGAATCCTAGTCTCAGGGAAATGAGACAAGATAAGGGAAGAAAAGTTCAGAAGCCATTCTGAACAGCATCCATGAATTCCCAAAGCCAAATAAACTAAGGCTTACAAGGGAAATTATTCCAAGAATGCCATTTCATATAAATGTTTTATAAGAGGACCAGTATAGCTCAGCCAGATCTCCGTGAATCAAAACATTCTGTAACAAAAGGTGAGTATTTACTCTTCAGAGAGCTATCAGAAAATGATGCCAACAGATTGAGTGATATGTATCTTTCAGACAACTAAGGACTCAAAGCATGAACTCATACCTTATAGTGTCCTTTCTAGAGGTAGCTGCAATTAACACTATTTTGTAGAAGAATCAGACCAACCCTGGTCTGATTACAAAGAGAATGGAGAAGTAATTATATTAGTTTTTCATAGCTAAAAGATTCAAGATTGTTCCAGTCAGTTTCATTTCCCAGGTTCTCCCCTCCTGAGTCACCATAAGAATCTGAATACCTGAGTTTCTGCTATTTCCTAACTGTAAACTTGGGCCAGTCACCAAAAATGCTCTGGGCTTCAGTCCTCTTTCCTACAAAAGGAGGTTGCAGTACCTTCCATTATTCTATGACTTATAGCTACAAACAACTCAATTTGCTTAGTAACTACATTTAAATATGCAATTTCAGCATATTTGAAACTGAGAAGGAAGACCTGGGTTTTAATCCTGCCTCTGATACATGCTATAGATCTGTATTGATAGAGGGAGTTTTCTTACGACAGCGATTCTCAAACTTTTTGGTCTCAGGAGCCCTCCACACTCTTAAAAATTATTGAGGACTCTAAATAACTTTTCTTTTTTTGTGGGTTAGAGCTCTAAATATTTACTGCATTGAAAATTAAAACTGATCACGTTTAAATTATTAATTCATTTGGGACTAGCAATAATAAACCTATTGCATGTTAATAGAAATAACACATTGTCATAAAAAATAACTCTTCTCCAGAACAAAAAAAATTTAGTGCGAAGAGGTTCATTGTTTTATATATTTCTGCAAATCTGTTTAATGTTTAGTTTCATGAAGACAGCTGGATTTCCATATCAGCTGCTGCATTCAATCATTCAATCTTTTTTTTTTTTAGGCAATTGGGGTTAAGTGACTTGCCCAAGGTCACACAGCTAGTAAGTGTCAAGTGTTTGGTCTGAGGCCGGATTTGAACTCAGGTCCTCCTAACTTCACGGCCGGTGCTCTATCACTGTGCCACCTAGCTGCCCCTCAATCTTTTTCAATATGTTATTTTGAATTGAAATAAATCTTACCTCACATAGATATGTAGTTGGAAAAGGAAAGAGGATATTAATACGCGAATAACATCTTAGTATTATTATGAAATCGTTTTGACTTTACAGACCCTCTGGAAAGGTCTTGGGGACCTTTGCTGAATGCAGACCACACTGAGAACCACTGATGGATAAGGCCTTCTCTAATCCAATAAAATCACATACTTAGTCTAAAACTTTTAACACATCACATTTTTCAGTCAGTCTCTCTAAGTCTCCATCAGTAGAGATAGCCCTTTGTTATTTTTTTCACAAAATTGAGATAGATTTTACACTCAGCCATTCACCTCCTCCTCTTTTCCCTCATAATAGCAAAATATAGATATTTGTGAGATAAGTACTCTGTCACCATGAGGCACAGTATCTTAATGACCCAATTGGGGTTAGAAATCATTCCTTTGATCAAGTTAGCTGTTGAATATGCTATTTTGTGATTGTTGTTGTTCAGTCATTTTAGTTGTATCTGACTCTTTGTGACCCCATTTGGGATTTTCCTGGCAAAAATACTGGAGTGGTTTGCCATTTCCTTCTCCAGCTCCTTTGACAGATGAGGAAACTGAAGCAAACAAGGTTATGTGACTTGAACAGGGTCTTCCTGACTCCACGTTCAGCATTCTATCCACTGTACCACCTAGCTGCCCCTACTTTGTGATGGAAAGCTATAAAAAGACCCTAGTCTAATCCTTATTTCTCCAAGTTCATTATTGGGAAAATTCATTTCTCTTCTGCCAATGAGTTGGCACAAGATCAGGAAAAAACCAGGTTCGATCTTCTCCAAAACAGTGATAATAATAGGTACTCCTAGAAAATATATTGTAAGGCTTATTTGAATTTTCAAAGAAATGAGCTCCTGAAGAAGCAGCAGTATCATTATTTAACAACAACCCTTCTAGGAAGTATTGAATTTTATGATCAGCAAGGTAAGATTCAAGCAATAGCAGAGTAACACTTCATTAAAATACAGAGTAGCATTTATGATTGTTAAAAGTGTAGTATCTTTGTTGGAGAAGATGTGGGAAAATTGGAACACTAATGCATTGTTGGTGGAGTTGTGAAATGATCCAACCATTTTGGAGAGCAATTTGGAACCATGCCCAAAGGGCTATAAAAATGTGCATACCCTTTGACCCAACAATAGCACTTCTAGGGTTATATCCCAAAGAGATGACACAAATGGGAAAAGGACCTACATGTACAAAAATATTCATAGCAGCTCTTTTTGTGGTGGCAAAGAATTGGAAATTGAGAGGATGCCCATCAACTGGGGAATGGCTGAGCAAGTTGTGGTATATCAATGTGATGGAATACTATTGTGCTATAAGAAATGATGAACAGGCTGACTTCAGAAAAACCTGGAAAGACTTGTATGCTCTGATGCTGAGTGAAGTGAGCAGAACCAAGAGAACGTTGTACACAATAACAGCCAAGTTGTGTGATGACTAATATTGATAAACTTAACCCTTCCTGGCAATACAAGATCTAAGACATCTCCAGAGGCCTTGTGATGGAAAATGCTATCCACACCCAAAGAAAGAACTATGGAAGCCGAATTGTTAGTTTTTTTCTCTTCTGTTGAGTTTTGTTTCCTCTTTCTGATGGTTCTTCCTATTGGTTTTGATTTCTACTTACAACATCACTAATGTGAAAATATGTTTAATATGAATGTAAATGTATAGCCTATATCAAATTGTGCGCCATCTTGGGGAGGGTGGTGGGGAGGAAGGGGGAGAAAAATTTTAAACTCAAAAGCATATGGAAGTGATTATTGATAAATCAAAATAAATTAATAAAAAAAGTGTGGTGTCTCAGGTATCTAGATGGCACAGTACATAGAGCACTGGCCCTGGAGTCAGGAGAACCTGAGTTCAAATCTGACCTCAGACACTTGACACTTTTTAGCTATGTGACCCTGGGCAAGTCACTTAACCCTAATTGCCAGGAAGAAAGGAAGGAAGGAAGGAAGGAAGGAAGGAAGGAAGAAAGAAAGAAAGAAAGAAAGAAAGAAAGAAAGAAAGAAAGAAAGAGTAAGTGTAGTGTCTAAATGGCTACTACTTATGGAACTCAGGAAACAGATTCCCATTTAATTCAATAGAGGTTCATAAATGTATATTTCCAGGGGTTTCAGAGTGAGTGTGCTAGAGCTAGTGTTTATGCTCTCTTTGCCTAGGGAGATGAGGAGCAGTAGTAGGGAGCCAGCATGGTTACAAAGGCAAAACGCTAATAAATTGAGGTGGGTCCAAGGCACGTGACACATTTCATTAGGAGGGGAACATTTTTCTTGGCTTGAAGTTTTTTGTTTTTCTTTTCTGAACTCTCCTACAGTGGTGATATTAGATAATGGTGAATAACATCCACAGAGTTATATGGCATGTGTATAACACCTAATGTCAAGGACCCCTTATGAATGCAATATTTAGTTTAATTAATAAGAAGGATTATGAAAAGTCCTTAGATCTAAGGACATTCAGTCCCTGTCACCATTTGAAGCAAGTCAGTTCTGGAGCATCCTTGGGGAAGGTATAGGAGGTGGTAATGGACAGGGAAGGTGGGGCTGGCATCTGGTTGGCTGTAAGACACTGCAGTAATTAGAGTAACTTCCAGGCTCAATCAGGCATCTGGTTAATTTCTGTTCTGTAGTGATAGGGACTAGAATTGTAATTGCATTGGCATGGAAAACTACTAGGTGAAGAAACTCTCTACCACTGCATGTTGATACCTTCTTTGCCCCTTACAGTCCTCGAGAGCTGTACGTGGCACTGAGATGTTCAGTGATTTGCCCAGAGTTTCACAGCCAATATGCATTGAAAGAAGGACTTCTGGTCTTTAAGAAGACCCAAATCCCTTAAACTTACCCAGTCTTTCAGGAATCTTCCACAATGGAGATAACCAGAAAGCAGGACAAACCTCTCAAATGGCTTATGAATCTATCTCTTCTGTTTCCTTAGCACTATCCCAGGCACCATCTATTGCCCAACAGATGGGTCCAGAATCAAGCTAGAGTGAAAGCAAGGGATTCTTCACCTGGTTTTGTCAGATAGCTCTGCTATCAGTAATTATCTTTTCTGTGAAGGTAGTGTCCTTCTTGGGTATGGAATGGGTGGTAATAGAAGATAAGTGTTGAATCGAACCCATATTCTCTTCCCTGAATTATCACAGTACAATTCAAACACAACCCTAATGTGCTGGTGGTACTGTTTAACAAGGTGAAAGTTACTGTGGTTATATATGAACTCTTAAACTATCACCCAATAAGAAAGAAAGTCTTAATCACCAGGTTCAGGGGGAGAAGGCTGGCCACCATTTGTTGTCTGACAGTCTGTGAAAGATACCTGATGACTCCCAACCCTGCTGTCTGGTTGCTCCTTCACAACCCAAACCTGTAGAGAATGAAAAGCATAAAAAGTAAATAGTTACTTTTTTTTTCAATTCTTTCATATTAAGCCAGTCACTCTCCAAGGAAAAGAAGGACCATCCCATCCACCCTTCAAATATAACTTGTTGGCTAAAGAAGACAGACAGTTAATCACCACCCTTGTTTTACTGTGTCTAGTAAAACAACCAAATCTATACTAAAATAGAGGAATCTTGCTTCCTAGTAACTGATGACTTTTTAAAAAGAATCCCAGAAGACAATGAAATTCTTTAATTAGAAAAAAAGTATTACTTATTGCATCATTCTTGATTATCTATTATACAGGAAGGTAGAGAATTAAATAAAGATTCTGCTTAGTGGCTTTACATCCAAATTAGATGATGAAAGCTTAGCATCCAGGGAAATAGAGGAAAGGTTCTAGAGAGCTGAAGCAAAGTAAAATAAGGTGTGCATCTCATTAGATAATTGGATTTTTTTTTCCTTATGTCCTTGTGTCTTGTTGGCTGAATAAATTAAGCCTAGCTCCGCAAATGGGGTCAGGGAGTCTAATGCCCAGGAAAGTAGAGAGAAGGTCCTCAAGATCAACAGCAAGAGGAAATCAAGTGGTTCAAGCTCATTAATTAATTGGATTTCATTTCATGTCCTTATGCCTTTTGTTTGGGTTGGTTTGTGCTTCTATCTGACAAATAAGTTAAGCTTCATTCCCAAAGGAGGCCAAAGAACCAAGCATGTGAGAAAAGTACAGGAAATTATCTGGAGGTCAGTGACAACATTAGCTACATAGAGTAAATCTCATTTCATTCACGTTTTGACTCACATCTCACAAACAAGCAGTGTGCCTGAGTGGCACTAAGCTAACAATATGAGCCAAGAAAGTTGCCCAAAAGAAGACACAGGGGCAGAAGACTTGGTCAAAATGAGTATAGAGTACAAGAAGAATTTTTCTGCAATCTGGAGAATATGCTATGCTTGTTTCAACCAGTACTATATAATACCAATATACATACAAAAAGTAAATTGGTCTCCATCCTAGAGGAAAGTGAAAGTCCTAGAGGAGTACATTTCTACTCTCCATTTTGTCAGACAGAATGATGTGTTCCTCACCCCTCCCCCCAAAAAATGACAGAAGAACTTAAAGGAAGAAACAAAAATGTAAAGAGGCAAAAGGGAGTTAACTAGAGGTGAGAAAATGGAAAAGGAGACACAGAAGGAAGACTGAAAAAGTGGACTTACATAAGAAGTATGGAAAGACAGTGTTGCATAATGGATAGAGACCTTGCTTTGCAGTCAGGAAACCCTAGGTTCAAGTAACACTTCTGAAAGCATACTATTTATGTGACTCTCAGTTCATCACTTAACCCCTTCATGCTCCAGGCAACTCCCTAAGTTGCTACGTTTCTGGACAGTAACAGTGGTAAAGGGAATTTCTTCACTGGGAATTCTCTGTCAACTAACAAGTATTCACTAAACACATACCATGTGACAGGTGATGAAGCATTAAGAATAAAAAGAAAGGCAAAAACAGTCCCTGCCCTCAAAGAGCTTACATTCTAACGGGGGTGACATCATGTATATAAATAGATATATACACAATGCATAGTAAATAAAAGGTAACCTCAGAGGAGACGGCACTAGCAGCTGATGGACCTGGAAAGGCCTCCTGAAGATAGAAACATTTGTACTGAGTCTTAAAGGGAGGCATGGATTGATTCTAAGAGGTAGGGTGAGGATGGAGAGCATTCCAGGTACAAAGAATAGTTAATTAGCTCACGCTGAGACACTTAGAAGTTTCATGTGCAAGGAATGAGTTGACTAGTATGGCTACATCATAGAGTGCGTGGACAAATGTAAAGTATAAGAAGACTGAGCTGGGAGAAATAGGTCAGGTTTTAAAGAGGGTAAGACATAAATTAATAATAATTTTAAAGAATAGGTTTTTGGGTCTTCCTTTAAAAAAGTAAGTTGGTCCATCCCTGGAGAGGGGGGTTTCTGGTGCTGCAAGGAGAGGTGATATGAGTCATAGATGCCACCAGGCGAGAGTCTAGCCAATAAGGTCAGAGGATCAAGAGAAGAGCCAAGGTAGCACAGTCATTAGGGGTTCCCTGGGTACACAGCAACCCATTTGTTAACCTGATTTAAAGAATAAAGACCTCACCATCTTCCTGGGGAATGAAAGAAGGGTAGGTCTGGGAAATTAACAGCTGGCTAAGTAAATAATATTTAAGATTTCGATTTCTGGACGAAAGCTTAAAATATAGCCATGATAGGCTCTTGGTAAAGGAAGGTGAGCACCTAATGAGGACTAATGAAAAATGTTTTTGCCTGGACCTTATATTTCTAATCAAAAAAGCTTTTTTAATGAGAGGGGGAGGGGGGACTGTCTATACAGATCAAACAAGCCTGGTCCCATCAGGTATCACAGGAGGAGGAAAAGCAAAAGAAAATACCAATAATTCAAAGGACACAATATCCATGTAAAGATCCAGAAGTAAAATCCAAGGCCTGAGATGTCTATTTAAAAAATGCAAAAGTATAGGTAATGAGAGGGTGAATTGGAATATGACTGATGACTGGAATTTTACTTTGGAAAAATGTCTCTTATTTAAAAGGAACAAAATAGATCATTGGAGTGGTATAGTGACAATGTATATTAAGAAAAATACTTTATAGATATTCTAGAGTCAATAAAAAGTCATCAAATTGAGAAAAATTCTTAGTGGAATAAGCATATGCCAAGAGGGAGGTAACATTATCTCTATTTGTAGATGATATGATGGTTTATTTTGACAATCTCAGAGAGTTAATGAAAAAATTAATCATGACAATTAATAACTTTAGTAAAGCAGCAAGTTATAAAACAAATACTCAGAAGTCACCAGTTTTTCTGTATATTATTAACAAACTCCAGGAGGAAGAGAGAGAAAGGGAAATTCCATACAAATTAACTATAAAATATCTGGATGTTAACTACCAATGTAACTTCAGGATTTATAGAAATACACCTACAAAATACTCTTTACAGAAAAAGACTTAAATAATTGGAGAGCTATTCTTTGTTCATAGCAAGGATAAAGCAATATTAAAAATATAATACTGACATGAAATTATAGGTGTAGTTCTACAAGAATCAAACTATCAGGAGATTATTTTACAGACCTAGACAAAATTAAAAAAATTCATTTGGAAAAACAAAAGATCAAGAATTTCAAGAGAAATAATTTTTAAAAGAGAATCAAAGAGAGCATAGATGCAAAGACAAAATGAAAAACAGATGTTAGCTCTCATTATTACTATAAAAAAGTAATTAACGGGGCAGCTAGGTGGCACAGTGGATAGAGCACCAGCCTTGAAGTCAGGAGGATCTGAGTTCAAATTTGTCCTGAGACCAAACACTTGACACATACTAGCTGTGTGACCCTGAGCAAGTCACTTAATCCCAATTGCCTATAAAAAAAAAAGTAATTAACAAATCACTTGGGACTGGGTCAAAAATGGAAAAGAACATGAATGGAATAAACTAGACAAGCAAGCCCTTGAACCAAACAAACACAATAAGTAGATCAATTGTTCAAAAAAACTTCCAGATACAGACTATTGGGGAAAGACTTCCTAGTCAATGAGAACTGCTGGGAAAACTGGAAAAGCATTTAGAAGAGAATAGGTTTAGACCAGAATTTTACATTGTATATCACAATAAGTATCAAGCAGATGAACAATCAAAATATAGAATGTTGTATCATAAAGAAAATTAAAGAACAATTCAAATAGGTGCCTTTCAGAACTACATACGCACATGAACACATATATAGACATATATATACATATGCGTGTATATGTTGTCTCTCCTATTAGAATATAAGCTCCTTTGGGGCAGGGATTATTTTGCTTTAATTGAACTATGGTTAGGGAAAGAATTCATAGACAAACAAGGCTATAGGGGATCACAAAGGACAAAAACAATTTTAATTATTTAAAATTAAAAAGTTTTTTGCATGAACAAAATCAAGAGAAGAAGAGTGGGGAGGAACACTTTGCATCAAACAAGTTTGATAACTGACATCCAAGACATATAGGGAATTAACATGAATATGTAAAACTAAAGAAATGTTCCCCTCCCCAATAGATAAATGGTTAAAGAATATGAACACTTTTCAAAAGAAAAATCAAACTATCAACAACTCCATGAAAAAAGTTCTAAGTCATTAATTACAAGAAATGTAACTTAAAATAAGTCTGTTTTTGTCAAAAATGACAAAAGATGGAAATATTCACATTGATGGGACTGTGGGTACTCAGGTAACTATTTCAATATTGGTGGAGCTATAAATAGGTTTGACCATTCTGGAAAACAATTTTGAATAATGAGAGAAGTTATTAAACTATTAAAATTCCTTGATTCAATGATCTTATTGCTTGGCATATACCCCAAAGAGTTCAAACACAAAAAGATCGCATTCATACCAAAAATAGATTTTAAAAGCACTTCTTGCTTTATTCCTTTTAAAATTTATTTCATATGTGATTATCTGTTGTATGTTATATTCCTCCAGCAGAGTATCAGAATTGTTTTTTATTTTGTCTTTGTATCACCACAATCTAATTGGAGCAGTTAAGTGGCACAATATGGATAGAGCAGTAGGCCTGGAGTTGGGAAGACCAGAGTTCAAATCTGGCCTCAGCCACTTATTAGCTGTATGGTTCTGGGCAACTTACTTAACCTCAGTTTTCTCATCTGTAAAAGGAGCATAGTAATAGCACCTACCTCCCAGGTTGTGAGGATAAAAGATAAAATAATTGGGAAGTGCTTAGCATAGTGCCTGACACATAATAGGTGCTTATTAATTGCTCTTTGTATTCTATTTGTCCTAACAAAAAATAGAAACAAAGTAAGGGGCCGTCAACTGGGGAATGTGTGAACAAATTATGGTATATGAAATGAAATGAAATATTTTGTGTTATCAAAAAAATGACCAATACAAAGAATTCATAGAAACATGCATAAAC